CAGTCACTAAGAGAAGCCATGCTCTGCAAACAGAACCAAGATATCCCTCCACAGTCACCATGAAAAGCTCTCTTTTCCAACACGCAGGCATCCCCCCCCACCTTTGTATATTAACATCATCCAGTGAAGCACGTACTTCTCCTCAGCGAGTGTGGAGGGGGAGGTATTTGTGAATTTCCTGCATTGTGCAGGGGGGTGGACTAGATAACCCTGGAGGTCCCTTCCAACTCTATGATTCTTTTTTTTTTTACAATATAATTTATTAAGTTTTCGTAACATAATAACATGCATATACAAAATGGTGTATTAAGTACATATAAAATTGTAAAATAGTCTTGTTTTGAGCTATGCAATAAAAGGTGAATAGTTAATTACATAGGTGAATGCAAGAATAAACACAAGATACCATTATACACTGTCAGCTTTCAACCGTTAATACTGTAAAGTATAGTCAGTGTTGCAATAACCACATTTAAATCACAATTAGTACCATTACTTGTTTTCCCTTCACCAGAGGTGGAAGGTAAAACTCTATGATTCTATGAAAACTGACTGTGCAATCGAGATCTTGCCCAGGCACAAAATGCCCAAAGGGAAGCTGTACTCTTTGAGCCCTGCCGAGAAAAGCTGTGGAGGCTTATAGACAAGAACATGGCTCAGGGCTTTATTAGACCAGCCAACTCCCCCTTTGCAGCCCCAGTGTTGTTCCAGAAGAAAAAGGAGGGGGGGAGCTAAGACTGTGCACCAATTACAGGGGGTTGAACGCAGTATCGCTGTCAAATGCTTACCCCCTCCTGCTAATTAAAGACTCGTTGGCCAAAGCCTCCCAGGGCTGGATGTTTACAAAACTGGACCTTCAAGATGCATACTTCCATGTGCACATCAGGGAGGGGGATGAGCATAAAACAGCTTTTAATACCCTGCTGGGACAGTTTGAATACCTGGTGATGTCATTTGGGTTGGCTGGTGGACCCAGGGTGTTTATGAACGTGATCAATGAAGTGTTGCACAAGCACCTGTACAAGGGGGTCCTTGTTTATCTAGATGATATCTTATTCAAAAGATAAGGAGTCACATTGTTCTGATGCGGGATTGGACACCCCCGCCGCCGTCCCCCAGATCCGGGAACCCTGAACTCCAAGCGCCCGAGGAGTGGGGAACAGACCCCAGAGGGGCACAAGCCTTCATACGAGGAAGGTCTGAACAGCAGCTTGCCTGTTGCTCCAAGGCAGCCCACCTAGAGGAAACCCCAGGGGAGGAGTATAGAGGGAGGAACTGGCTCCCCACCTGGGAGTTTCCAGGGAGGCACTGGAGACAAAAAAGAGGGTGCCACATGAACACGGCCCACACCTACCTGCTGGCTCCCAGTACTAAAGAACACGTGTACAGCTTGTGTCAGGAATGGCTGTCAGTACTAGGGCCTCTGACTTATACCAAAATCAAACATCGCCCCCCCATATAAGCATGAGCCAATGGATATATCTCGTGTGCACGGGCAAAGCAAGTGGGCAAAGCAAAAAAGCCGTTAACTTTCCTAGCCGAGTAAACTGCAGCTGGAGCATCTACAAGGTCAAGCATAAGATAGCAAACAGTTGGTGAGCCAGGGAGAGCTGAGACAGCAAAAGGAGGGCACCCCTCCACATTCCAGAGCTATGACAGGGCTACCTGACAATTTGTTGCCCTCCTCTGAAGCCATTTCAAGTTGTTTATGTGCTTCTTAAAGCAGCTCATGTTTTTAAAAAATGTTTGCATCTTAGTACATGACTAAACAAAACCCAGTCCGTTATTTGGATTTTTACCCCATCAGTGCCTTAAAATAAGATCAGCTAAGGCATGTACAGAGTAGTGACAGAGGAATTGCATGTTTACACTTTTTGTTTGGATCCCTTCTTCAGTCTCTTGCCATGCTGAGTGTATGCTTCGGGATATTGGCTTTTTAATAAATGCTTTATAATTTTTAATGCTGGTAGCTGTTCTCTGTACCACATAAATCTTCACTCTTTGAACACACTATTTAAAATGGGCACCAGGAGAGTGGGCACAGTCAATCAGTCAAGTGGTAGGTGAGTGCAATCACCTGTCCCAATGGTAACCAGCTGCTGTATAGTGAGAGACACTGGCATGAGGTAGAGCCTTAACAGAGCAATGCAGAAAAAGGAAGCTGGCAGCATTTCGGTGGGTAATTCCTACAAAGACCAGGTGGCGGTAGTTGGTGTGCCAAAAGAGGAAAAGGAAAAAACCCTCTGAGGGTTGGGAAAGCCAGGAGAGTGGCACGTTGCCAGGTAGAGACTTGGACAGCCGCTGGTGCTCAGATGGCAAGACTGAACAGGGCCTGTGGGTGAGTGGGGCTGTTCCACCCCAACAGTTACTAGGGGTGTGCCAAACAAAACAAGTCTTCACCAATGCTTCCTCTAAGCTGTGGAGTCTTGTGAGCAAAAATTCAACTTTGTGAGCAAGCAATTTGGCTGCTGCATAAATTAGTTTGCTCTGGAGCTATCCTTCCTAAGCTAAGACAAAAATGTGTGAGCTGGAGGCTAAAAAACTGTGAGCTAGCTCACACTAACTCAGCTTAGAGGAAACATTGGTCTTCACCCGCTGATGGACGACACTGAGAGAGGGAGACAGGCAAATCTCCCTGGGGAGGGAGTTAGAGAGTTTTGGTGCCCTTTCTCAGGTTCTTCCCACCCATTTAGCCACAATGGCAGGGGCACCCGAAGCGTGGGCCCCTGAAGGGGACCAGAGGCTTATAGCATAGTTTATTATGTATTACTGTTACAGCATTAAACATGCACCAAACTCATACGGTACAAGTGGAGACCTGAAATAAGTTGTGATGTGTGTAGAAGGGAGAAGCGTAGCCTTAAATTCAAGATGACTGTACCTTGCCACAATCTAATCCTGAACACAAATGGGCCAGCAATCAAAACTTTGTCGTGGCTAGCTGAGCATTTGCACTTGCTGCTGGAGAGGTTCCCAAATTTGTGGGAGCCACACACATGCAACCCCCCTCAGCCTTGAGAACCTCACTAAATACTAAATAATAGATTATTGAGTTACAAAAACATTTCACAGTTTTGTGAGCAGGGTATTCCTAGGACTTCATCTGGCGAGGGAATATAAAAAAATAATGACAATCACTGTCATTTATCACACATTCAGAACTTAATGCCTGTCTACTATATCTAAATTAACAGAGACACAAACTGCAGTTGAACTTAAGCTGTTCACAGCTTTTCAGAGAAGGACAGGTTCCCACGGGTAATTCTCCACAGAATGGCTGAAACAACTAGTTGAAATGCACAGTGTGTTGTAATGTTGTAATGTTCTTTTGCACACATTGTTCTAACACCAGGAAGCAGATAGAATTAAAGTCAAGAACTTAATTATTCATACTCTTTCTGATTATGACTACTATGTGCACTTATAACTATCCTGGGGAATTGTACTTATGCAGTCTCTCTAATGGATACACACAGCATTTTATACATTTAATACCAAAGTTTTGATTCTCTGAAAAGTTCACTTTCTAATGCCTGCTTCTCTGAAGCTTAATTTCAGCTACTGGTTCTCTTAGGCAAGCCATTGTCTTTTAGCCTCAGCTTCAATCTGTAAAATGGAGATAATAGCGGGACTGTACGAGGAAGGTTAGAAATATCAACATTTCTACATAAATTAATAATAGTTCAAATGGGATACACATCCTCATCCAGCAATAACGTTAGGAAAGGGCAATTATCTGGGATGTCTAAATGGAAGATGTTTGTCTTTAATTGTAGAAAACTTGATCCCCCCCCCCAAGTTATTAGATGGTTTTTTATGATTAACTATTCTGTGATCTGCTGAGAAAGGGTAAAGTAGAAGGAGGCAGCAACAGTACTGCATTAATCACCATCATTACTAGCATTTATTAAAGGTAATGGACTACAATCTGTTAGAAATGCTTTTATAGAAATCATTATGCCTGTGGTACTAAACTAACTTCCAAAAATATCTTAGCAGTTTTACTGATTTAGTTTAGAAAAGCGGGGGCGTGGCGCTGGGTCCGATGGAGGCAGCCGCTTGAAAACCTAGCTCCGACCCTTTTAACCCCCAAACTATATAAATAATTAACCTAGAATCGGCATTGTTAAAAGAATGGGCAGAACTGACTCAGCTAACGCTGTAGCAAATACGGCAACTCCTAAAAATATTCAAAACTACTTTCTGAAGACATCCCACGGTAAAACTCCTAACAAGGGCCCTGAGGAAATCATCAAAATGGCGACTGACACGCCAACAGCAACTCCGCCCAATAACTCACTATCTGAGGCGTCTCTATTAAACATGTTTGCGAACATGGAGAAAAAAAATATTAGATAACATGATGGCTCTCATAACACCATTAAATGAGAAATTTGTGGAACTCACGATCTCTTTAAATAAGGTCAGTCAAACCACGGAGCAAGCCCATGAAATAAGCACCACTTTAAAAACAGACGTGGATGTCTTACAAAACGAAACTGAGTATTTGCGGGACTGGGTGGTGGCGTTGGAAACCTTGACTCGTAAGACACATTTAAAACTAAGAGGTTTCCAAGAAAAAGTTGAAAATACCATCGAGCTACAGATTTTTGTAGCGGAGTGGCTAGCGCAAGAGATGCACTTAGAAGATGGTGTCGTCCCCATAATTTTATCTGCGTACCGCATAGGCGCAGGAGAACCTACACATTTCAGAGGTCCCAGAGACATTATAGTTGAAGTGCCTGACTTCCGCACTAGAAGGAAAATTGTAGAAACGGCACGGGCAAAAGGATCGCTATCATATGAAGGGACCCCAATTCAAGTCTTTCCAGATCTACTGCGAGAAGTACTGAGCAGGAGGAGAGATCTGCGCCCAGTCACAGAAGCGTTATGGCATGCTAAGATCCAGTACAGATGGCAGAACTTGACTAATCTACAAGTGAATGTCAAAGACGAATTTTATAATGTAGGAAATATAGAAGCCGGTCTCAAGCTTTTACAGGCTCTGCAAATCACGCCGCAAATGGACACTAGCGAAGCTTCCCGTAAATGGGAGCACCCGCCATCCCCGAGCAAAGATGGCAAGCAGATCATCAGAAGTGTTTAACATCGAACGACGGTAGTCCTGAGGGAAAAAACAAATTAAAAAAAAAAGAGTTCTGGTTTGCAGTTTACAGTTTGTATAATAAGTCAGCTTCAAGATAATCAAAATTCTAGGTTATGATAAAACGTTTCAAGATCTGGTTAATAGTTTAAAATTTTAAAGTGATATGCTTAAGTTCGAGGGGAGGGGGGGAGGGTTGTTTACTTTCATACAGTTTTCTATCTAACAGTCCTTTTTTATTCAGAGTGCTCTCTGTTAGATTGGGGGGATAGTTAATCTTACCAGGCTAAGTGGGACTGTCATTTTTAATTGTTTGTTGTTATTTCTTTTTTCATTAATTAATTGCTGAGACCTCATACTATCAATAAGAATCAAAGTCTGTTTGAACATCTACAGAAATAAGTATCTAACTTTGCACATTAATTCTTACCTGATCAGGATTTAAGCTTATACCCAAGGGTGTTTAATAGTGTGGGGTGGTTTTTTATTCTCTTATCTTTATTGAAGTCACTAACTCTGTCATTGAATACAGGACACAATTAATTGCCACCTACTCTGGAGAGTCTAATTTAATTAATGTTTGATTGATAGGTTGTTTTAAATTAATTGAGTGTCCAATTAATTCCATATATAATTATAATTGATTAAGACACTCTTTTTAATCAATTTTTAATCTATTTTTAAATACACTAAGTAACAATCAACTGCATCTTGTTCTCAAAAGTGATCTAATTAATTATAGTGTGTTTAACTTGATTTTATCAATTATTTGTTAAATTGAACTTACAAGCAATTGTAGTTGCATAAGGAATTCTTATTAAACATTTTCTAAAATCTATAAAAGTGTTATCAAAAAACACCAAATTGTAACGCTAAGTATAAGAGGGCAGCTTTCATCTAACTGAAAAACTTACTTATTAATAGATAATACCATTTCAAAGTTTTACCAAGGTACTGGACTTGCAACAAGTGTATAAAGCATTTATTAAGTGATAATTTTTAATTGAAAGTGTAACAGAGGGTCCACAGACTTAATTTTATTTCTAACTACAGCTCTCTTCTCCTATTCATCAGAACCAAAATATAGTAATTTCGGGCACAGTGTGTATAACCTATATAGTTCCTCTGCACCACAACATTATTAACCGAACACGATGAATGTCACATGGAAGGTCACATCACAAAATGTCAGAGGTCTTAACAATTTAGTCAAGCGCAAGAGGGTTTTAACATACTTGTCCAAAACCAACTCAGAGGTGTTTCTGCTGCAAGAAACCCACTTACATTCTAAGAATCAACCAGAACTCAAGGCAAAATGGATCCAACATCAGTATCATGCTAAAGGGAATTCTAAATCGAGGGGAGTCGCAATACTTCTCACCCACAAAGTCCGGTTCCAACATCAATCTACATTAGCAGATCCTAACAGTCGCTTTATTTTCATAAAAGGCCAACTTAATGAGCAATTAGTTACACTAGCTTCAGTGTACGCACCCAATGTAGCACAGCTTTCGTTCCTCACTGATACTTTGGCAGCATTAGAAATCTTCCATGAGGGTGAAATAATACTTGGAGGAGACTTTAATTTAATAATGAATCAAGAAGCTGACTGCTCCAACACTCAAGACACTGACCAAGGGAAATTACGCCATGCAACAGGTTTAAAAGAATTATTACAGCAATATAAATTAACTGACATATGGAGATATATTCATCCAATTGATAAAGACTACACATTCTACTCAGCCAGACATGCAGTATACACGTGCATAGATTTTATCCTTGTATCTGATAGCATAATTCACACAGTCATAGATTCTGCAATAGGTTCCATCACCTGGTCGGATCATGCGGAGGTGAACTGTGTGCTGCAGTCTTTTTCCAAACAAATACGGCACAAAACATGGTCACTTAATAAATCTTTACTTTTTAACGACCAAAGCATAGAATCAATTGATTTGCATATTCGCCAATACCTAAAGGAAAACTGCACAGCAGAAACATCTTCTTCTATGACATGGGACGCACTAAAACTAGTACTTAGAGGCCATCTCATCTCACTGAATTCGTGATTGAACAAAGAAAAAACAGCTCTGAGGGAGGTTATACAAAACAAGATTAAGCTTCTAGAAGGAAAACATAAAACGACGCAGTCATATAAACAAAATAGAAAACTATTATCCGAGCGTAAAGCACTAGAACTAATGGACAGTTCACAAATACAAAAAAATCTCCTGTATGTGAAACAAAAGTACTGGATCAACTCAACTAAAACATTGCACCTTCTATCCTGGCGAGTCAAAGATAAAAGGCTATCCAGACATATAATATCGGTCAAAGACCAGGAAGGGAAAGCACACACGGATTCCATATCGATTAACAAAGTCTTCGCAGACTTCTATCAATCGCTATATTCATCATCTGAACCTTTCTCTGAGGACATTCAAACTTATTTGACATCGAACTTGCATATCAAAAAACTTACAGAAGAACATCGTGAAATTCTCAAAAGAACCATAGAGCCACAAGAAATCCTTGAGGTCATAAAGAATTTGAAAAACAATAAATCGGCAGGTCCAGATGGTTATCCGCCGGAGTTCTACAAGAGATTTGCTAACATATTGGTTAATCCATTGGCCGACGCTTGTAACAACATATTATCTACAGGACAAATTCCTCCGTCTTGGAGCACAGCAGCCATAATAGCAATACCTAAACCGGGAAAAGAAGGTTCAAACCCAGCATCATATCATCCGATATCTCTCCTGAATCAGGATTACAAAATTTTTACAGCGATTTTAACCAAAAGGCTGAACTCATTCATTTCAAATTACATCCAGCAAGATCAAAAGGGTTTCGTACCAGGTAGAGACATAATAGACAACAATTTTAAAACACTGAATATTATGTCATCATGTGAAAAAACGAAAGTAGAATCA